TCAGTCTAGTCTCAAAGCAAAGTGTAGATGCTACAGATAAATAATTTTTCTTTTGTAAGTCTAAGTTTATGGAATCACTTTGTTCCATTTTTTAGCAAACTATTCTATATTAAGATTTTCTTCAATTTTTCAAGTTAAACAATTTTAAAACTAAGAAAGCTTGCGGAAAAAACTTTATTTACATTAGGAAAAGTTTTTAAATATTCTTTCATAACATAATAAATGTCAGCTCTAGAGAACTAGTTCTTGAATATTCGTTCGATTTTATAGTCTTTTTAATATTATGCTAAGCATATATAACCCACAGATAGATTTTCGTGATGTTAACTGCATATGAATCAATGACCATGTAGAAAAATGAAATGAATATAATGCAATTGAGACTAAAAGGAGAGTAAAAAAAATGTAATATTACGTTTCTTCAATAGTCCTTTGTTTACATATTCCATCGGCACATTTTTATTCATCGTACAGGCACGAATGAAAGAATACAACAACGACAACAATAATAAAAATAATTTTGTGACTTTTTCTTTGTTGATTGATCTTTTCTGAATCGGTTGCATCTTCAGAAGAAACTTAAAAGAATCATTAACTCAACCTTCCAGCCAACGCTTTTTTTTTTAAATCAAGAAAAACAGTCTTCATGCCTGCCATATTCCTACTGATTTTAGTTAGGAAAATATCAGCAACTCTTTTTATTATTTCTTGATTGTACACGAGCATGTATGATTCTGTTTTACAATCATGCTAGCAGAAATAGTTTTCAATTAAAACATGTTTTGTACTATGGTTTCAATTGATATACATTTATAATACACATAGTTCTAGTGATACATGTTTGAATAGAAGAAGTTTTCCTGTTACCATTGTAGCATATGTTAAAATTGTGTGAATAAACACAAGTTGAATATTATTTCTTTATGAATCTTAGAAATTAATGAAAGAGGGACAATTATTGGAAAATAAGAAGATGAAATATCGTTTTATTATATTTTTTTTAGAATCAATATGAATAAAAAAATTACTTTAATTAGATGGTCAGTGATTTAGTATATTCGGCAACTAGATATCATTGTTTAACCTTTGTCTATATAAAAACTAAAATGATGTTATTCTTGTTTGATTCACATTATCAGCATGTCAATCGTTTGCATAATGAGAAAAAAAATACACAGACGATGTTCTTGGTTTTCTTCGTTCTTCTCAGCAAGAGAAAAAAAGTTTGGTTTTGAAAGAATCGAAAAAAATATATACAACGTATGAAAAAAGATATCAATAAAATGAAACTTATGTTACGCTTCACATTAAACGTAAATGCAAGTGGTAAAAAATAATCATACCATAAATGACGTTGATGGGTTTTTTCCTTTAATGTCTTTTTTTGACAAGCATACCTTTGATTGATACTAGGCATAGGTTGTTATTGAGTATCGACGAAAAAATAAAATATTAACATTTGACATCGTAGAAAAATCTAGAAAAAAAAACAACATGCATCGAATACATAAATACGAAAGGTAAATTCTGTTCATACACATTATTCACTAATACATTGAAAATGAGTCGACAACGACGACAACGTATGAGTGAAAACTATTTAGTCATATGGGTTGATGCGAATATCAATATGAAAAATGAAGATTGTCAATATACACTGTCACAATTACGAGGTATTGTTGATGAAGTCAAATTGTGCATTACAGCAGAAGAATGCATCAGATTACTCAATGAAAACAAGGAGGAGACATCTTTCATTATCTCCTCTGGTAAACTTGGACAAGTTCTTGTACCAACTATTCATGAAATCCAAAATCTTGATACTATATATATTTTTTCTCAAAATAGGGAACTTCATGAAGAATGGGCTAAATATTGGACAAAAATTAAAGGTATCAACGAATCAATCGAGTCTATATGCAAAATGTTGCAAATAGCTATCAAACAATATAATCAAAACAATATACTGGTCAGTATAATTAGTGCTAGTGCAGATGGTTCTAGGCAAAATCTTAATCAGCTAGAACCATCATTCATGTATACCCAGATATTTAAGGAAATACTCCTTGATATGAAACATGATCAACAAGCTATCAAAGATTTGGTCGCCTTCTGCCAAGAACAATACCAAGGCAATACTAACGAACTGAAGTTAATCGATGAATTTCAATGTACTTATCATCCAACATTGGCCTTATGGTGGTATACACGCCAATGTTTCGTCTTCAAAATGCTCAATCGTGCATTACGAACACTCGACGGTGACCTAATCATTAGAATGGGATTTTATCTATGTGATGTTCATCGACAAATGGAAGATTTACACAGCAAACAGGTCAGTCAATATCATATAGGGGCCAAGGACTATCGACAGACGATTTCGAGAAACTCGCAAAAAACAAAGATGGTCTCATATCGTTTAATAATTTTTTATCCACCAGTACAGATCGTGATGTCTCTTTCGCTTTTGCCGAAAGCAACTCAGGAGTAATCGATATGGTCGGTATTCTCTTTCAAATGACAATAGATCCCATGGTGTCATCAACACCCTTTGCCTCCATCAAGGAGGTTAGTGATTTCGTGCAAGAAGAAGAAATTCTCTTCTCGATGCACACCGTCTTTCGAATCGGTGATGTTCGAAAAATTGATAAGAAAAGTCCACTTTATGAAGTGGAACTCAAACTTACGTCGGATGACGACCAACAACTTCGTCAATTAACCAATCGTATACGAGAAGAATCTTCGGGTAGCACTGGATGGTATCGAATGGGTAAATTGCTGCTCCAAATAGGTCAATTCAACAAGGCCGAAGAATTGTACATAGCACTACTAGACCAGGTTTCTAACGACAGTGATAAAGCGTATATCTATCACCAGCTGGGAGGGGCGAAAAACGACCAAGGACAATACAAAGAAGCAGCTTCCTTTTATGAAATGTCTCTCAAAATTGAACGAAAAACTCTACCAGAAGATCACCCTTCATTAGCTAAAATCTACAACAACATCGGTCAAGTGTATAACAACATGGGTGACTACTCAAAAGCACTTGAATTTTACGAAAAAGATCTCGAAATCACGAAAAAAGCTCCGTCTCCGAATCATCCCGATTTGGCTATTTCCTACAACAACATCGGTCAAGTGTATAACAACATGGGTGACTACCCGAAAGCACTTGAATTTCACGAAAAATCACATAAAATCTACGAAAAAGCTCTGCCTTCGAATCATCCAGATTTGGCTACTTCCTACAATAACATTGGTGGAGTGTATAACAACATGGGTGACTACCCGAAAGCACTTGAATTTTACGAAAAATCACATCAAATCTACGAAAAAGCCCTACCTCCAAATCATCCCTCATTCGCTACTTCCTATAACAACATCGGTGGAGTGTATAAGGACATGGGTGACTACTCGAAAGCACTTGAACTTTACGAAAAATCACTTAAAATAAAAGAAAAAGCTCTTCCTCCGAATCATCCCAATTTGGCTATCTCCTACAACAACATCGGTCAAGTGTATAACGACATGGGTGACTACTCGAAAGCACTTGAATTTTACAAAAAAGCACATAAAATAAGAGAAAAAGCTCTCCCTCCGAATCATCCCGCTTTGGCTACTTCCTACAACAACATCGGCTACGTGTATGAGGACATGGGTGACTACTCGAAAGCACTTGAATTTTACGAAAAAGCGCATAAAATAAAAGAAAAAGAACTGCCTCCAAATCATCCTAATTTGGCTCTGTCCTACAACAACATCGGTGAAGTGTATAACAACATGGGTGACTACTCGAAAGCACTTGAATTTTCCGAAAAAGCACATAAAATCCACGAAAAAGCTCTGCCTCCGAATCATCCCAATTTGGCTATCTCCTACAACAACATCGGTCAAGTGTATAACGACATGGGTGACTACTCGAAAGCACTTGAATTTTACGAAAAAGATCTCGAAATCACGAAAAAAGCTCTGCCTCCGAATCATCCCTCATTGGCTGCTTCCTACAACAACATCGGTGGAGTGTATAAGGACATGGGTGACTACTCGAAAGCACTTGAATTTTACGAAAAATCACATAAAATCCTCGAAAACGTTCTGCCTCCGAATCACCCTCATTTGGCTATTAGTTACTTGAGTTTTGCAGCGTGTTACGAACGAATGGGTGATTATGCAGCAGCTCTTAAGGCTCTTCAAAGTGCTTTTCAAATTCAACAACAAGCATTTCAAGAAGGTAATCCAGCTTTTGCTTCAACATATAGTTGGTTCGGAAGAGTTTATCGCAGTATGAAAGATTATTCAAAAGCACTTGATAATTTCGAAAAATGTCTCTCAATACGTCAAAAAGCCTTACCTAATAATCATCCAGATCGAGCTCTAACATACAGTAATATTGGTGATGTTCATCGATTAATGGGTAATTATGAAAAGGCACTTGCATTTCATCAAAAAGCATTAAATATTCAAGAAAATGTTC